GTATAATTGTTATCCCCATACATGCTTATGTTAATGCGATGTGAAGATGCTTCTGTTATGTGTGATAAATATGGGATATAACTTTCAACAATATGATTTATCTTTCAAAAACAGCCGACCGTTGGGTGGGTTAGAGGGAGTTAATACCCCCAACAACTGGTATCAGAGCCAATGTTGGGTCAGATTTGAAGATTAATATGAAGTTTATCAATGTATAAGGTTAATTATGGGGTGCAATGGCCCAAAATCTGCTACTACCGAGAAAACAGTTGACGTGTAGGTTCCATTCGTCGACCGATTTGGGGTGAAATGGCCTTTAAGGCCTGCATTTGCTGGTTTGGACCTGTACTACCTTTGTTAACTCTTTCGTAGCCCTGAAAACACATCATTAGTAGGATATAACTAAAATTAGACGTCAATGCATTTAATTAAAACATAATGAGACCGCAATCGAAGTCGAAATGAATCTAGTTATATAGCAATATGGCCTTAAGACCTTACATGGATTTGGAAATCCTAATGAGACCGCAAAATGCAAAAGAGTGGTCTCAAAACCATTTTTATCCGTCAAATAAATACATGACATCATTTAATACAAACTTGTAGCAAAAGAATTACATTGTCTTTACAAATTCATCATTTACATCTAAATCATAGTATACAAAATAGACTACATATCTAGTCCACAAAAGAAGTCCATGGGGTTATCAAGGGAGATGTTGTGGGTTATCTATTACTTCCTTTTCGGTTTCTGAAAATAATAATGAAAGGGTAACCACAATGGCTCAGTAGGAGGTACCTAAAACGCACTCCTTAATGATCTCATGAATCCAATACAAAACATAGAATATAAAGAAGGGGGATCATGCTTATTATGGGGGAAAATAACCATCATACAATTCAAGTCTCATGAGTGAATAAGATGCAATGCCAATGTCACTCCCCATTTTTTAAAATAAAACCTTTGCCAATGCAACAACCGTCAAACCGTTAATATAACCCGGCCTAAGTTAACTCCCCAGCGCCACAAGAAAAGGATTGGCTAACTATCCCTAACCTAAGGTAAGTCCTTAGTGTCATTTGGGGCCTAGGTAGCTCAACCACGCATAGGGCAGTCTCCCTAGTTCCCTTTAGGTTCCATTAACGCCACAGACACAAGGCGATTTCTTGTCGTCCAGTTTTCACAAACATCTTTTCAAAACCCTTCTCAAAAAATTAATTTCTTTCATTTCAAAATCAATTTCCCCTTTTTTTTCACCAAATGCCAATGCATGAATATTACATGCATCTCTATGTCATGCTAACATGAAATTTCTACATCAATTTACAACCATACTTGCATGCTTTGGAAGTAAATTAATACTACAATTCTCATATTATCAACTACATAACCATTGCATTTTAAACATGTAAAGCATGTATTCATTTAATTCAAGTATACATTTTTGTAATAATTCAATTAAACAAGCAAATCAATACATTTGCCACATAGAAAACAACCATCAAGTTTTACATATAAAAACACTAATAACCATAAACATAGTTCACAATTTTAACATGATATATTCACAATACATGGAAGATAACTCACAAAAACCAAAGGAATTGAGGTTTAGAGACCTCCACCTCAAATAATCAAGCAAAAGCCCCAAATGGCCAAATTTTTGAAGTTTCCAAAATGGCCCAAACGGAAATCGGCTCTGATCAAATCGTAGCCCTTGTTGTGCTCATAAAATTTGCCTTCGATGGCAAAGTCTAAATCCAAATAGAAATAGATGAAATTTGAGCTTGAATGATGAGGTTTTAGATAGAGAGATTTTAGAGAGAGAGAAAAAGAGCTATTTTTGGCAAAAAAAAAAAAAAAAAAAAAGGAGGAAATGAACCTCCATTCATCAAATGTGGTCCTTGTATGATACTTTGGTCAACACCGGCTTCGATTGACCATCTAAATGACTAAATTACCCTTTTTCATGCAATATAAACTCCAACATGCCACAATTATGTACTAAAACACACAACCACATAAACATGCTCCAAATAATAATATATGAATTGTAATGAACCCGAAAAGTACCCCCGAGCATGATAAATCAAGGTGCGGGACTCACCCCGGACCTCCCAGTCCGAAAATTCGAAAATTTGAAAAATGCCAAAATGATCCAAATTACATTTCTAAGAGTTCTAAACTCGAAAAAATGTTCTCAACCACTTTCGAAACCTACGTGGCACGCTAACCGGTGCGTAACATGCAAAACAAGAGGGTAAAATAAAATAATCCAAAAAATAAAAAATTGAGAAACGTTACAATGTATATACATATGTGTCTATTTGCACCAAATTTGGGAATCCAAATTGATGTAGGTGGTCGCAACCTTGGGAGAGGCCAAGCGTCTTTTTATCTCATCAACATTTTGGTTAGGACCAAAATAAGCTTAGCGGCCAAATTAAAATTTAAGCTTTAGCCCATCACTTATCTCTGCAAGCTCGATCATATAGCTTTACTTTCTATGTATTTTAATTTATATGTAATTTACATTTCATGCCTTTTAGTTTAACGAAATTGTACATTTAATTTCCAGTAGTGTAACTTTCTATTTGCATTTATAACCTTTTAAATCTAAATACAATGGATCAATGAAACTTTCATTCCACTGATTTTAACACTTCATCTTCATGTCCATAATGGAATGAAAAATTATAGTGATGATGATGAGCATGGTGATAGACCAAATGTATGGTCAAATACACCTTCTGATTATTCTATAATATTGATATCAGCAGCCCTTTTATTCACAGTATGCTCCATCACCTACACCTCCATACCCATTTGATCACTAGCAACCATAAGACGAAATATATAGTACTTTCTAAAGCCAAGAAATGAGTTGCAACCCTGCAGAAGGGATCTCCGTTGCCTCCTCACAATTCATCACCTAATGATCAACAATTTTCACTTAAGTCATGATATAGCACAATCTACCCAAGGAAATATGTTGAGCTCACCTCGTGTCTATGCGAAGAAAGACTCTGGTATGCCCATGAACTCGAAGGACTCTAAATTGTGCAAATGATAGTATTATATCTTATCATCGAAATTGATGAATGGATGTACATAGAGAGGGGTAAAAGATGGTGTAAAGAGAGAAATGATACTATTGAGAAAGAATGGAGAAGTAAAAGATGTGTATAGGGAAAAAAAGGCTATGGTAGAAAGATAAATGAAAGACATCCAAACATGAAATAATTGTGTTAATACATATATTGTTATAATATAGTGGGGTCCACCTCATCATTTACCCTATGTATGAGTGTTACTGCAGAAGATGGTATGTTTAGGGGATTAAGTATGTTAATAGATTATGTAGTGATGTGGGTTATGTATTGCGTGCCTTGTATGAGATAATGTAATAAATGAAGTACAGTGCATTAGGTGGCGTTTTGTAAAAGAGACACACCAACATAAACAAATAAGAGTTCTATCTTTCTTCTCTATCTATTTTCTTACATTCTGTTTTTATATCAATTGTGTTTCACCTTCTCAATATTGCTCTATATTTTATCTTAGATTCATATAACATTATCAGTACGAGACTCTGCCAACTTCAAAGAGTAAGAAAAAATAATTATTTATATTAATTTGTTCTTGTTCATAATTTATAGATAATTAAAATTGATGAGCCTGAAGTGTCACAAAAACTTATTTATTTATTTATATTATAATATTTTAGTTCATTCTTTACTGAAAAATAAATTGATGAGCCTAAAGTCTCGCAACTACTAAATTATTTATATTTAATGATTTTTACAAACTCGAAGTTTTGCATATATTAATAGACTTTTCGTGAGCTTGAAGTTTCACGAATATTTGGTACTCTTTGCGAACCCAAAATTTCGCATATTTTATTGGCTTGAAGTCCAAGTGAACCTAAAGTTCTTTGACCTGAAGTCATTTACACTGAGTACCCTTCCAAACATGAAGTTTTGAAAAACGTAGAAATATAAATTATATACTATTTAAAGAAGTACTTATATATATATATATATATATATATATATATATATATAAGTACTTATGTTCACATTTTGACTTTTTGTATGCTTTACTTTTGTTGCACTTCTGACTATTCCATGTATGTAAGATTATGCCTTTTTAGATATGAAACATAGATGAAAAAGGTGCAAAAAGAAAAAGAGGAAAAATTAAATAAAAAAATTTACCACAAGATTCGGATCGTGGCCCTTTAATGCGCAAGTTAAGTTAAAGAACCACCAAGCCACTTATTCTATTGTGAATTTAAATTGACTGTTATTTATATATTGTATCACCATTATGCAAATCATATTATAGTGACTGCGGTATTTTTATAATCTTAAGTTGATTATTCTTTCATTATAATGCATATTTGTGCTTAATAATTCTAATTATGTTATTTTTTTACTTATAGTCCCCTTCGTAATGTCAAATCTTACCAAGCTCGAATTTGTCACACTTCATATCTTGGGCAAAAACTACTTGTCATGGATCCTTAATGCCGAGATCCACTTGGATGCCATGAATCTCGGAGAGACAGTTAAGGAAGGAAATAATGCGTCCCTGCAGGACCGTGCGAAAACCATGATCTTTCTTTGCCATCACCTCAATGAGAAATTAAAAACGGAGTACCTCACGGTCAAAGACCCACTTACACTGTGAAAAAATTTGAAAGAACGGTATGAGCATCAGAAAACTGTGATCTTTCCAAAAGCTCGCTATAACTGGATCCACCTGCGATTGTAGGATTTTAAAAGTGTAAGTAAATACAATTCACCCCTATTTAATATCAGCTTACAATTGAAATTATTTGGAGAAAAAATTACTGATGATGATATGTTGGAAAAACATACTCCACATTTGATGCCTCAAATGTGCTTCTGCAGCAGCAATATAAGGAGCAAAGATTTGCAAAATATTCTGAGTTGATTTCTTATTTGTTGGTGGCTGAACAAAATAATGAGCTTTGATGAAAAATCACCAGTCCCGTCCAACTGGATTTATACCATTCCTAGGAGCGAATGTGTCCTCATTTGACGGCCATGGACGTGGACGTAGACGCGGATGTAGTAGTGGTCGTGGATATAGTCACAATATAAATAATTATCATAATCGTGATGGTCATAATTTCTCATTGGTTTCTAGAAGGAACTTCACATCGTCCCACCAAAAGTGGAATTTAAATGGGACCAAGCAGGCAAAAGGAAAAACTTTGCAAAACAAAGCTCCTGAGATATATGATGACAAACCTTACTATAGGTCTGGAATGAAAGGGCATTGGTCACTTACCTATCGAACGCCCAAACATTTATTCGATCTTTACCGTGTCTCAATGAATGATAAGAGAAAAGGAAATGAATTCGAAATGAATTTTGTTAATGATGACATGCCAGTTAGTATTACTCACCTCGATGTTTCTGACTTCTTTGTTAATCCGAGTGGTAGTATTAATCATTTGATTGGTGATGGAAATTTCTATACCAATTAATGTGTCCTTCTCTAGCATGTTATGCCTTGTGTGTTTTATTTTGTTTGTATCAGTATGTTTAAATTTTTGTTGTATCAGTATGTCTCTGTCTTAGTTGTACTAGTATGTTTTTATTTTGGTTGTTTTATATGTTTTATCTCCTTTGTATTTCATGTTTGAAGTAATAAAATATATATTTTGTGTATTTAAATAGGCATAGATCTGGCCAAAGCATTGACTGTGTCCAAGATAAATGATGAAGATATATATCTGGCAGACAGTGCAACAACGCACACTATACTCCGGGATAGAAAATATTTTTCATGTATAACATTAATTAAAGCTAGTGCCAATACAATATCAGGTCCAGCAAACCTAATTGAAGGCTCTGGAAGAGCTATCATTGTGTTACCATGTGGAACAAAATGAAATATTGATGATGCTCTATACTCTGCCAAATCCAAAAGAAATTTATTAAGTTTTAAAGATATACGTCTCAACAATTATCATATTGAGACTCTAAATGAAGGGAGTGTTAAATATCTCTGTATTACATACCAAAAGCATGAATTAGAAAAACTTCCTACTTAATCTTTTGGATTATATTATACAAATATAAGAGCAATTGAGTCACATGCAGTGACACAATAGGAGTGTTCTAACCCAAATGTTTTTATACTTTGGCATAATCGCCTTAGTTATCCTGAGTCAACAACGATGCGATGAATCATTGAAAATTCACATGGTCATCCACTAAAGAACCAGAAGATTCTTTTAGCAAATGATTATCCATGCACCGCCTTCTCACAAGGTAAGTTAATAGTCAAACCATCACCTTCCAAGGTCATTGTTGAATGCCCAATATTTTTACAACGAATTCACGGGGACATATGTGGGCCAATTCATCCCCCATGTGGACCATCTCGGTATTTTATGTTTTTAATAAATGTATCAACCCGATAGTCCCATGTAAGTTTACTTTCTACTCGTAATGTTGCATTTGCTAGACTTCTTGCTTAAATAATTTGATTACGAGCACAATTTTACGATTATCCAATCAAGACAATCCATCTTGATAATGCCGGGAAATTCACATCTCAATCATTTGATGATTATTGTATGTCAATTGGCATTCATATTGAACAACCTGTTGCACACACTCACACCCAAAATAGTTTTACAGAATCTTTTATCAAACATCTTCAGTTAATAGCTAGACCATTACTTATGAGAACTAAACTACCTCTTTCTGCTTGGGGACATACGATATTACATGCAGCATCACTAGTTCGCATTAGACCAACTGCATATCATTTTTTTTCACCACTACAACTTGTAACTAGTTAACAACCAAGTATCTCTCACTTACGAGTTTTGGGATACGCTATATATGTTCCCATTGCACCCCCACAACGCCCCAAAATAGGCCCTCAACAACGACTTGGTATTTATGTAGGTTTTGATTCCCCATCTATTATTAGATATCTTAAACCTATGACAAGTGATGTTTTTAAGTTGTGGTTTGTTGACTGTCATTTTGATGAGGCTGTCTTCCTTCAATTAGGGGGAGAAAAGGAAAAGCCAGAAGAGCAACGAGTTATTAATTGGAATGTCTCGACTTTATCTCATTTCGGTCCTCGCACAAATCAGTGTGAACTAGAAGTTCAAATGATCACTCATTTGCAAAGTATTGCAAATCAATTGCCAGATGCATTCACTGACACAAAGAAAGTGATGAAATCACATATAACATCTGCAAACATTCCAGCAAGAATTAATGTCCATGTAGGATAATCTGTCAGTGTTATTGCAAATGCATCTAAGACACGCCAGAAGCGTGGTAGACCAATCGGTGCAAAAGACACTGTTCCCCGGAAGAGGAAAGTACAAGAGAAATCAAATAAAGAAATTGGCGCTCCTGAAGAGGCCACACTTGCAAAAGGAACAATAAAAATAATTGATCAATCTAAATTTTATAAGTAAGTAGCCCTAAAAGAGATACATGTTTCGGAAGTGGCGCATGCCCCGGAAGTGGCGTAAGCCCCTGAAGAGGGACTGATACCTGAAAATAACGATGTCTCAATAAACTAAGGAGAATTGCGGGATAGAAATACAGTTATTATTAATGATATATTCTCATTTGCAATTGATAATAGGAATCCCAAACCTCAAAACGTCGAAGGGTGTCAACGTAGAAATGATTGGCCAAAATGGAAAGAAGCAATATAAGCAGAGCTAAACTCATTAGTAAAACGTGAAGTATTTGGACCTGTAGTAGACACCTGAAGATATCATACATGTAAGGTACAAATAGGTATTTGTATAGAAACATAATGAGAAAAATGAAATTGTAAGATATAAAGCCCGACTTGTAGCCCAAGGTTTCTCGCAGAGACCTGGTATTGATTATGAGGAAACATACTCTCCTGTGATGGATGCAATCATATTTCGCTTATTGATCAGTTTGACAATCTCAGAAGGACTGGATATGTGTCTAATAGATGTGGTTACGGCTTATTTATATGGATCACTAGATAGTGACATATATATGAAAATCCCTGAAAGATTTAAAATACCTGAAGCAAATAGCTTGAAACCATGTACCATGCATTCGAATCAAGTTACAATGATCCTTGTACGGATTGAAGCAATCCGGACGCATGTGGTACAATCGTCTCAGTGAGTATTTAATAAAAGAAGGATATGTGAATAATTCAGTTTGTCCATGTATTTTCATCAAGAAATCAAAATCTGGATTTGCCATTATAGTTGTATATATTTACGATCTAAAACTTGTGGGAACTCCTGAAGAGCTCACCACGACTACTAATTATTTAAAAAAAAAGTTCGAAATGAAAGATCTTGGTAAAACAAAGTTTTATCTTGGCATGCAGATCAAGCATTTACCAAGTGGAATTCTTTTCAATTAGTCAACATACACTGAAAAAGTCTTGAGGCGCTTTCATATGGACAAAGCTCACCCATTAAGTTTCCCAATGGTTGTCCGATCACTTAATGTGAAGAAATATCCTTTTTGCCCTCGAGAAGATGATGAAGAAATTTTTGGTCCTGAAGTAACATATCTTAGTGTAGTCAGTACTCTTATGTACCTTGCAAATTGCACTAGACCTGATATAGCATTTGCAGTCAACTTACTAGCACGGTATAGTTCTGCACCAACTCGGAGACATTAGAATGGAGTCAAACATATTATGCGTTACCTTCGGAGAATGAATGATATGGGGTTGTTTTATTCAAGAAAATCAAAGCCCCAGTTAATTGGATATGCAGATACAGGTTATCTTTCTAACCCACATACTACTCGATCACAAACAGGATACTTGTTTACTTATGGTGATATTGCTATATTATGGCAATCTATGAAACAGACCATGACTGCAACTTCCTCAAATCACTCTGAGATACTGGCAATTCATAAAGTAGGTCGAGAGTATGTTTGGTTGAGTTCTGTGATACAACATATTTGGGAATCATATGGACTCTCCTCAATCAAAGATAGACCAACAATATTATATGAAGATAATACAACATGTATTGCACAGATAATTTAATAACCCTAATTTTAAAAGGATAGTTTCGGTATTATTTTTAATGTTTTAGTTGTATTTTATTTATTTATTTGATTATGTGATTATTTGCTTACACGTTTAATTAAATTGTTTAATTATATATTTATTTGCTTAAATGTGTTATTTGACTTAACTGATTATGTGCTTGAATGTTATTTGACTTAATTGGTTTAATTAAATTGTAGGTGTTGTTTATTTGAAATAAATTGTAGATTAAATGTTTCTTTTGTTTTATTTTATTTTTAGTGGTTAGTAATAATGGGTCAACCAATTGGGTTCCATGGATTACTTGGATAAGGGGTTTAATGGGTACGGATAATTACCCATGGATAGTTGTATATGTATATATAATAAATAAATGTGTGTATATATATATATATACAAGGAAAGTCCTTTAGTAATAATCTGATGTATATTTATATAATTTATAATAAGAATATACATAAATTATACGTAACATATATTTTAGTTACCTTTTTAGTTATTTAAATTTATTATTTTCTTTATTAGTTAGACTTGAATTGGGAAAAGGAATAGGGTTATTATTTAGCCTATAAATATATAACTATATGGTTGGAAAAGGAGATTAGAAATATATCACGTAATATATTTTAGAGAGAAAGAGAAAGAAAGAAGGAAGAGAAAGAGGAAGAAGGAGGTTAAGGTTTTTTATCAAATCCCTAAAGGCAAGTTCTTGTTCTACATTTCTCCCTTAATCTGTGAATTTTATATCTCTAGTATAATTTTAGGATTGTTTAAAGAACAATTAAAACTGAAATATGTAATTTAATTGATCTAGAACATAGGATTTATAAATTATATTTCATGATTGTTCTTGTTGTATGAGTTGATAAATTCATGGATTTGATATGAGTTCTTTATGAATTTTTATATGCCTTGAATAATGTATTTTCATATCTATATATTGATGGAACCTAGAAACATGCCTTAGAATCCTTAAACAATAATGAATAAATTCACAGTAGGGTTTCTGGATTGAATCGCGTAATAGTACCCGATCTGCCGTTACAGTGCTCGAGCCATGGACCGAAAGCTCAAGCCATGGAAGAAAAGCTAGAGCTATTGATGTTAAGCTCAAGCCATGGACTGAAAGCTCGAGCTATTGGAGAAAAGCTTGAGCTATGGTTAGGAAGCTCGAGCCATTAAGGTGAAAGCTCAAGCCTTACCTGGAAAATTTTCGTAAACAGCGTTAAATTAATTTTAATTGAATTTGAGGGATCCTAAACATCAAATAAGGACTTGGTATGAGTTTAAATAAATTCTAAACAAACTTAAATATAACAATGTATGCTATTTGAATTCTTTGAGGAATGAATGGATTTAATCTTTATTTTGTTCTAACAATTAAAATTAAATGTGTAGCATAAATTGTATTTGGAGAATACTTACTTGATTGTATAATAAAATATC